ACCTCTGGTTTTGTGCATCAACATTTGACACCCCAAGTATTTTTCATGAGTGCTCTCTAATGAAAGTTAGGGAGTCCCTTTTATAAAATAAGGGCTCGATCCTCAATACATAAGTGATGGGTTAAGTCCCCCAAGTATTTTGTATTTTTCATGAGGCCTAGTTGAGGCCTAATATATGGTACATAATGTAGTCCCCCAAGTCTTCGGTCAATAGAGTCTGTTGGCTGGAGATTTCAAATTGAATCCATGTGTGGGCCGAAGTGGCGGTTGTCTGGAGGCGGTATTTGTATACCCTGCACTGAAGCTTTGTAGGTGAAGCTTTGCAAGTGAAACTTTGAAGCTAGAGCTCTATAAATGAAGCTTTCGAAGCTGGAGCTTTGTAAATGAAGCTTTTGAAGCTAGAGCTTTGTAATTGAAGCATTTTGAAGCTAGAGCTTTGTAAATGAAGCTTTTGAAGCTAGAGCTCTGTAATTGAAGCTTTTAAAGCTAGAGCTTTGTAATTGAAGCTTTTAAAGCTAGAGCTCTGTAAATGAAGCTTTTGAAGCTAGAGCTCTGTAAATGAAGCTTTTTCGAAGATAGAGCGCTGTGAATGAAGCTTTTGAAGCTGATTGACATGAGTGGTGCTCATGAATGCTTATGTTGATTGACATGAGTGATGCTCATGGATGTTGACATGAGTGATGCTCATAAATGTTGTCATGAGTGATGCTCATGAATGTTAATGTATGATTGATATGAGTGATGCTCATGAATGTTTATGTATGATTGACATGAATAATGCTCATGTATAATTTGAAGTACTGGGCGTACTTTTAATCACCTGGTTAGTGGTAATAGTGGCAGGTTGCCAAATAATTTTGGAGTACTAAGCGTACTTTTGATCACTTGGTTGGTGATAATAGCGGCAGGTTGCCGAATAATTTTGAAGTACTATGCGTACTTTTGATCACCTGGTTGGTGATAATAGCAGCAGGTTGCCGATTAATTTTGGAGTACTAGGCATACTTTTGATCACCTGGTTGGTGCTATTTTAGGCTTATGAGCCTTTGCCCTCCACAACATGCCAGCCCATTTATTTTGGGCTTTGCTGGTTTTTTTTTTGTGTTACTATTATTACCCTCTGATGGGGTATACATAGATGTCTCCGAAAGATAAGAAAAATAAATTACATCATTTAAAAAAATACTGCTATAGAAGGTGGGTGTGGCAGATGGTTGGATAATGGGATAGTATCTGCACAATTCAAGGTTGGGTAGTGGAATGGCAGATGACTGCATAAGCTTTTGCTTTTACCTTTTCTTTTCCTTTCTGCATGGTCCACGAGTCCCCCACAATTATCTCTGGTCTTCCGCAATTATATCTGTCCACCCATGTTCTTTGGCCTTTGGAGACCATCTGACTTTAAGCTTTTAATTGTCATTGCTTTCCTTGCTTTTCTTTAGAATGACAGTTGTTTGGACAGACACCACCCATTTGCTTTTCTTTATCTCTCCACTCTTTCTCTGCACCAACATCATGACTACCTTCAACCAAAGCCCATATATCTACCTGTATATCTTTTTCGTGTCTGATCAACTTGATTGCTTCTTCAATCTGTAACTTCCCGCGAAAAATTCCGATAGCAATTATTAACGAGTGTGCTGATGATGCGATGGCTTCAATTGCTGCCAATTCACATCCATCTATTTGTTTTAGTAAGGTCTCTTTCTCACAATGGACCTCGTCATAAACGACATTGGCATCGTCACTGACGACGCTGCTTAGCTCTTGGAGCTCGAACTCGATGATGACTTGACGTATATGCTGTCATCGTGGGCCCTGCTGTTGTTCTTGTTTTCTTTTCCTTCGGAGGAAAAGGTGAATGACGAAGATGGAGCATCGGATTGGGGTAGCTTGACGACGGCGGTGAAGGTGGAGCTGAAGTGGCGAGCTCGAGAAGAGAAAGATCTGATCAGTTTGAGGTTTCTGACTGATTTTAGGGTCTTGTTAAACTGGAGGATTAGCCATGCACTATGGCTAATAAGAATAAGAGCAGAACCCTTGATCCAGTTTGCGTGAACAGGCTTGGTCTTGCCAATATAGTTCTTGGCGTCGTAAACATTTACTAGTGGCTTTTTCGACACTTTTCAATAGGTATCCTCCTTTCTAGAATACGAAAATAAAAGAACTACAGATGCAGAAAACTATATCAGCCACCTTCGCTTGGCCTCGAGCGCTTCTAATCTTCAATTTCTCCATCCCGAGAAGAACTGTAAACGACGAAGACGGTCAGATTGAGTCCCTCTTGGAGGGATAATTTTATGAGGATGTCTGATCCAGTGTAGATCAGCTGAACCAGTACCATTGCTAAGTAATGAATGCACCCTTCCATGGGTATCAACTTTTCTTGTGCTAATTTGAAATGTGGATTCGTTTATTCTGATGATTTTCTCTCTTTAATGGTGGATCTGGGCTTCATAAAAACACGGATCTGGGTCAAGGCGTTTGCGAGCTCGGCTGGAAGTTCTCAATGTCATCCTCTCATCCTTCATAAGTCCGATGGACGCGTGCTCAGTTTTATCCGGACCGTTGAGGAGGATAAACTGGTTGGTGGCTTGGTGGCGTCTCCTGTGCATCTGCAGATTCTGGTCTCTCTAAAAACCCTAGTTGCAGATCGAGTAGGATCTCAGGTTGTGCAGATTCACGATGGATCTTATGGTGAGGTCTCACGATGGTGAGATGAAAAAATGAAAGAGAACTGACATAGCTTTTCATGTCGATTCCCAAAGATGACGCCAAATGTTGATGCATAAAACCGGAGGTCTTGGAACAACGTAAATCCGACCGTGAATCTGCAAGAAATGTAAATAACACAAGATGTATCATAGTTCACCCCAAGGTTTGGGCTACGTCCACACTGATTGTATTTATTTGAGGGAGAGAGAGCTCTGAGAGTGAGAGCGTTGAGAGGGGGTGGGAGGGTCTAGGAATTGGCCTCTCCTAATTATGAGAGTGATGAGTCCTTTTATAGAATAAGGGCTCCTCACTTATTACATATTTGCCCCTTCCTTTATTACATAATTACATTTAAGTCCCTCGAGTATTTATACGAGATCTAAATACGGAGGCCCTAAGTATGGTACAAACAGTCATATTTAGGGCCTCGTATTTAGATCTTGTACAAATACTCGGGGACTTAAATGTAATTATGTGATAAAGGAGGGGGCAAATGTGTAATAAGTGAGGAGCCCTTATTCTATAAAAGACCCCTCACCCTCAAAATTAGGAGAGGCCATTTCTGAGGCCAATTCTTAGGCCCTCTCATCCTCAGAAGCTCTCTCATCCTCAATATTCTCAGAAATACAATAATTAGTGTAGACGTAGCCCAAACCTTGGGGTGAACCATGATACATCTTGTGTCATTTACATTACTTGCAGATTCACGGTCGGATTTACGTTGTTCCAAAACCTTCGGTTTTGTGCATCAACATTTGGCACCGTCTGTGGGAAATGATATAAAAAGTTGTGTCGGTTCTCTTTCAATTTTTTACCTCCGCCGTGAATTTGCAGAAACTCGACACCCACATTCAGAGACACACCTATTCAATCTATAAAGAAAACGAGAAACTTAGGTGCATCTCTCTTGAATCCGTTGACCAATAGCCTCCAATCCACAAGAATCCAGAGAACAATGTTGGGTTGAGAGGGTGGGCTAGCAGAATATCAGGAGGGGATTTGGGGTAGACAAAGTGATTTCAAGGAGGGGTTTGGGTTGATAGAGCTTTTAAAAATATCTCTCCACCTTGAGCCCAGCGGCTATCCATTTTTCATCTCTTGCATACTCAAACCTAGCCGCTCCACCTCTCTTTATAAAAGAATAGCTATCAAACCCTTCCAATCCGATTCGACCATAACTCTGCAACAATGGTGAAGGAGGAGAAATATCTAAAAAAGGATTGGCTAAATTTCATAATACATTTAAAATATGTGAGTGACCGTTACAACATAAAGGAAGTGCCCAAACTAGTGCAAAGCACGTGCAACAAAAATACCAACTGGATCCTAAATTAAACCTTACAAAACAGCCCATAACTAGAGAGATAGGCAACTGTTATAGTGGACGGGTAACCGCGGTTATTTACTCATAATCGTTTATATTCATACCCGCATAACCGTTTACCCGTTGGGTAATTGTATAAACAGTTATATCTATACCCACAACCGTTTATAAACGGTTAACTATACCCATAGCCGTTTGCCCATTTAACCATAACCGTTTACCCATTTAACCATAATTTTACCCGTTTTTGAACATGTTTATCCTTTTTTTTTTACCCATTTACCTATTTTTTCACCCGTCTACATGTTTTTTTTTTAACAACTTGAAAATTACAAAAGAAAAACTTGTCATAATTTTCATTTTCTGACAATTAAACACTATTATAGGTACATTTTAGTTTGTATTTCCCTATTTTAATCATTTAAATACTCAAACAATTCCAATAATTGAAATAATAGTTTACGAACGATATTTTTCTGCTACACCCAAGCAAGTCTTTAATTATAATCCATATGATTACAAAGTAAAGCTTCTAAAAACAAAAATTAGTCATTATAATCCATATGGATACCCATTATAACCACGGGTAGTTCATTTGATCATCTTCTTTTCAATGCATTTTAAACAATTCTCTGTTTATACCGATACAGATACAAAGTGTTTTATTTGAACAATTCTCTGTTTCCTTCCTCTCATGCAATACAAAACCAAAAACGTCCAATTTAATTTCCGTTGCAGGTTCAAGAGAATATTATTGATGCAAAGTAACCCTCGAAAGAATTTTTTTTTTTTTTCAGTAGAAATAGAGTACCTGGTGAATCAGGACCGATGGATACTCGTTATAAATGCGGGTAAACAGTTATTCATAATCGAAATTGTGAATTTTACATAAGCGGGTAATCTCGGTTACTTAAACCCATAAGTATTTTGCTCATCCTCACCCATGACATAAAAAAGCCCAACCATTACATTTTATTTAATCTTAAGCCCAATCGTTCTTACCATTTTCCTCCCTTTCTTGTTCTTCAACTCCGATTCCAATCAAAACTTGTGCTCCATATTTCAGTAGCCCCTTCCCCTCAACCTTCTGCCAACATTGCAAGGTTTTAATGATTCCGACTGTGATTCAAAATTGGAAGGATATTTCAGAGATTTTCAAGGTTTGGTTTATCTGTTTTAGTTAAACTCTCGTATTCTTGTGTTTGTATCTCAGCCACCAATTTAATTTCCTTTCCCACACCTTTTGCATGTTGAAGTCCACTTGAACATAATCTCCCTAGAACCTACGAGATTGGTTCCGCCAACACCCAGCATCGAGGTTGGTCTCAAACCATTCATCATCATTTCAGAGTTCATGTCTCGGCCTTCCCAAACGCATCCTATTGCTGTTTAAAATATTTTACGGTTCCTTTGCTTTTTAGGTATTCTAATGCTGATTGGGCTGAGTGTCGGATTTCTTGCTATTTCATCGGCCAAATCATGTCTCTTGGAGCTCCACCAAACAACCCACCCGCTCAATTGCCGACTTTTGCTTGTGCCGAATCTTTGTGGCTTACCTTTGTTCTTCGTGAACTTCGGTATCACGTGTCTACTTCAAGTTTATTGTTTCGTGACAACTACCACTTACTGTTGGGTTACGGCTCAAAGTTAAGATGATGCAAAAATTAGGTTTGTGTCGTCTGTTTCTTTTTTGTGTCCTAATTGGGTTTGGATTTGACGTTTTGGTTGGATTCTTTACTTGGTGGGGAGATTGTGTTAATTACCTATGTGATTAGGATTTAGATTTACTTCCAATTAGGATTAGTATTCTTATTGTAACCTAACTCTTATGCACTATAAATAGAACCTCAGGGTTAGCGTATTTTGTGTGCCTTACCATTAGTTTAGAGAGTTTTCTCTAATTCAGTTTTGGATGAAGGTCACCGTTTGGAATCATGAGTGGAAAATTCATGGCTCATTCGTTTAGCAATTTGTTGAGAATTAATTTGAGTTAGAGAACAATTTGGGAGAATCTTCTTCGTTTGTTTGAGTTCTCTACTCGTTTGGTTTATGGTTTGTAATTTGTGAGATTTGGGTTGTGAGAGTTAAACACTCTTTTGTAACCTCTGTTTGTTTAGTGAAATTCTTCACCATGCTTCGCCCTGGGCATAGGCTTTGCACCAAACCACGTTAAATCTCGTGTTCAGATTTTAAGATTGTTTGTTTTAGCTTTCGTGCGACGTTGATATTTGGTACTTTGTTAAAATTCACTTTCGTTTGTGCATAAAAATAAAACACTTACATGCCCAGTAATTCGATGTTTCATAATTGGACTAATAATTAAAACGTTATGTCACTCTACTAGTTGGTGATTTTGCCACGACAATCTATCCTACCAGGGGCTGGAAAAAACTCACAAAGGCATTTTAACCTATCACTAGCCACCATCATATGATTCACTAGTGCCAAGAATCAAACCAAAGACGTATTGTGTGAAAGACAAATTTGTAATTCGTTTCCCGACTACTGTGCCACCCTGTGATGGTCGGAGGGAATCAAACCCTTGAGTTAGCATAATTCGTTAAGTTATGGAATTTGACGCTAGTTTATTATCTCTCCGAGCCCCGATAAATCTAATGGAAAAGACAAACTTGATAACACAAGAATGAATAAGAAGCTAAAAAAGATATGTGTTTATCCGTTCTCTTCGGTTAATCACAACAATGTTCTCAAAATCTGTCACCCAGCTTCGTTTCCGTCGCTAAACTTTCTTTTTAGATGTGGCTAAATCTGGCGAGGTAATGTGATGTAAAGTGGGCATATTCATATGCATTTCCCTTTTTTTCTTCTGGTCGTGCAAATCCATTTCTTCCACATCCCTCACCACCCTTCCTTCCCATACTTCATACAATTCTTTCTTGTATTTTCCCTCCATCTCCAACAAAAAAAAAATACTAATAGCGAAATAGGCATTAAAAGGGCACTAAGTTTTTATAAATCAACTCTAAAAAAGAAATATATATCTCTTAAATAAAACTAAAAACGATACGAATATCATAGGGGTCGGGTTTTATTGACTGAGCTTTCAAACGTACAACAAAAACATGATTTGAAGTTAAGATTGAGCAGGATCACCATATTTCAGTAGGATGTCCCGGTGCCAGAACACTATACTACACAAGTACAGCATGGTTATTTGTTTAGAAATTTAGAAGCTTACACCTTTTGCTACTTTATCCTTGTTCCTTGTCATTGCATTTCAAGTTGTAAGCGTTGTTACTCCACCTTCTTCACAATCTCTTCCAGTGCTTCCCACAATTTTGGGTCATCAAAATCTTTAATAACAAAGGAGGCTCCCGCATTAATCAATGCTTCCTCGGGGTTCCTTGTGCCTAAACCCACTACTGGCATTCCGGCTGCTACTCCAGCCTTCACTCCCAAAACAGAATCCTTGACAACCAAAAGTTGAGCAGAGATGAGCGCAATGTATGTCAAAATTTTACTGAAGATCGAATGCTATTGTTAATTGCACAGCACAAAGTTCTGAGAGACAAACCTCAAAGATGAAAGCATGCTCGTTTGACAGGTTAAGCTTTTCAAGAGCCGTCAAGTAAGGATCAGGAAATGGTTTTGCTCGTATGCATTCCTCTCCAAGAACAACAATTTCAAAGAAATCCGTGAGCTTCAACTTTGATAATATTAGCTCGGCATTTAGTTTTGTAGCATTTGTTACTGCAGCCCTTCTGAAGCCTGGTTTTTCAATCCATTGGCGCAACCTAGGGAGGCCCTTAAGAGGTTCTATCTTTTCAGATATAAATCTGCAACATCACACTCAGTAAATCAAGTTGAGACAAGAGATAGGGTCTTTTATAATTGAAAGAAATAATTCCACAACTTGATACAGAAATAGAATTCCCTATTAGTCAACGAAGATTGTAGTTGATACAGTTTAAGATAGTTTCCTTCCATCCACAGAAGTCTAACAAATAATACCAATGTGTCATATACCCGAAATGTATTTAATATCAAGCATGCAGTTTCTTGACAGATTTTTGAAGTTACCTTCGGAACATGGCTTCCTTATCTACCAAAAACTGTCTTGCTCTTTCGATATCCCAATCAGGAAAGAGGATACTACAAAGATACTCATTATGAACTCCAGCTATCTTCTCACTGAAGAATTCCTCAGTGATAGGAACCCCACCATTAAAACCTACCTGTGGTACACCAAAGAGTGAGTTGGAGAAAAGTGCAGTGTTTGTGCATATGTGTGAGAGAGAGTGTGTGATTCGGAGAAAAATGCCGTGTTTGTGCATATGTGAGAGAGAGAATGAGAGAGAGAAGCCTACTTCTTGAAGCATTTCACGGAAAGCATAATAATGGAAGGGATCTGAATCACACAATGTTCCATCAATATCAAATAGAATTGCTTCTAGAGGTGCGACACAAGCTAGAGAAGATTTTCTGTCATCACAAAATAGAAGGTGATTAAAGCAAGCAATCAGTCACAAAAGTTGAAAGTATATGAAGGTGATGAAACTAAGTTGCTATGTCTAGTGGTTCGGCCCAATGAAGCACAACAGTTTGTTCTAAAAGTAAACATTACTTTAGGTTAACATATATCACAGTTAAAAATCTTTAAATGCTAGATAAGATACTATAGCTTTCTTGCCAATTGTGGTGAGTCTTAACATTTCACAAAATGCATACACAAAGATCTCTTAATAAAACTACGAATATTATAGGATGCAGAAAATTATCGCAGTGCTAAGAAAGATTATGAGCTTCGGCCTTTTGTCCCGCTTAGCCTTTTTTTGAGTTTAAGGTATACTAAGTTGGCAAAGTAAAGCTGATAACAACAGAAGACAAATAACTTTTCAAACGTATCACTGTGCACACACGGCAAATAGATTTGCAATCAAAATCCCCTTAGTCCCAGGATCAATGTCTGAAGGGGTCGAACCCTTTGAGCGAATAAGAATATACATATTTGTTAAGGTAGGATAAGGATCGAACTTTTTCAACTGTCCATTATATCAACCATTGATCCCCATGCCTACCATTTGAAGTCCTAAATAATTTCACTTCCTAAATAATTTCACTTATTATATCAACCACCGGAGACAGAAAACCTTTTAAACGCTTAGAAAGACGCCAATCCCCAACCCAAACCACAAGCAAGGGGAAAAGAAAGGTTTTAGTTAGACAGAACAGAACTTTTCCTGAAGTTGACAAGGAGCGGATTTCCGCTTAGTATGCGGGTTTCCAAATGTTAATAAGAGTTCAAACACATACAGCTTTACATTAAAGGTCTAGTGAATCGCCAGCGAAAAGGCTGATGCAACCTGTTCAGCTAAGCAATTTGCCAACCATCCCAAACAAAATTAAAAAAGAAACAAATTGACAATTTTGTTTGTTTGCTTGTTCAGAATCAAGATTGGAATTCATAAGAACAATGCTATTCTCAATCAAGCCGATTCCTGTAAACCGGAATTCAAACTAAATCACTCAAATTATTTTCATGACATAAAATGTTCATAGCTAATGAACAAGGACAGCAATGCTCTTCTAAAGATATAATTTTTGCTCAACAATTATACTTCCATGCAATACGACGAAAACTCTAACAAACACTGATTCATACAAAAGTTACCACATTTATGAAAAAAATAACAACATCAGCAGAAAATTATGCTTTGCAGAATCAAAAATAATTTTTTAAAAAAAAGCAAGAAAATAAAAGAAATACCTATCGAGCGGGTGAGCATTTGATGAAAGGGAGGCCATTGTTAGTGAGGTAGATCCGGATTTAGTGGGGTTGCGTGTGAGTTTTCTGGATATGGGTTTTGGGAAAGTGGTGAGAAGGAACAAGACGAGAAGAAGGGAGAGCGAGCATAGTATGGAACGTGAGACGACCTCTCTCCACTTTTATGGGGTTGTCGATTTTTTTTTTCCTTCTTTTTTCTTCTTTTGAAATGGAATATGCTATCTAAGAGTTGCAAAATGCCATTTTAATTTGAAAGAAGAAGAAGAATCAATGGCTTGAGAGCAAAAAAAAAAGAATAAATGCTTTTTATTTGGAAAAGAACTATGATGCACGGATACTTCTGTTTGGTCCCGTATCCCGTATCCGATACTTGATCAGATACGATACTTGCCTGATACTCTCGGATACTCGTCTGACACGTATCCTGGTTGATGGACACGAATTTGACATGATGGATATGTGTATCCTACATTTAGGATACACGTATCCTACTTTTAAGATACATTTACACTTTCAAAAAAATGTAATGAGGAAGAGAAAATTAATAGGAGACATCTATAATTGAAATTTGCTAAATACAAAGAGCTTCCCTCTAATTAAAACCATGAATACGACTCTCACACTTCTTCTACTGTATAAAGAGGATTAGATTTCGAACTTTCCTTATCTAACAACTCAAATGTACTTGAATTTGAATGATGAATTATGTTTTAAAATGTATATTTTTGTTGCTATATACATTTTTATTTGCCGTATCCATAGCGTATCGTAACTTAATTTTTAGAGATTTTCCGTATCGCCGTGTCGTGTCGTATCGTATCGCCGTATCCGTATCCGTATCCATGCTTCATAGGAAAAGAAGAATACATACCATCTTCCCTCCTGTCCTGAGGAAGTCCGGTGAATAAATGACATCTTATTTGGAGAGGAATAATTAGTGCCGGCGAATAAATCTAACGGCCCACATACACCGGTCAGAGGATCCCGACCAATTGTCTCGGAGAAGATCCAAATCCAATAAAGCTTCCAAAAATCTCTCTCCCACCTCGAGCCCAGCGCCACCCTGCTTTCTTCTTCTCTTGCATACTCAAACCTAGCCGCTCCACCTCTCTTTATAAAAGAATAGCAATCAAACCCTTCCAATCCGATTCGACCATAACTGTGTAACAATGGTGAAGGAGGAGAAATGTCTAAAAAAGGATTGGCTAAATTTCATAATACATTAAAATATGTGAGTGACCGTTACAATATAAAGGAAGTGCCCAAACTCGTGCAAAGCACATGCAACAAAATACCAACTGGATCCTAAATTAAACCTTACAAAACAGCCCATAACTAGGGATGGGCAATAGTTATGATGGGCGGGTAACCACGGTTATTTACCCATAACCGTTTATATTCATACACATATAGTCGTTTACCCATTATGTAATCACATAAACGGTTATATCCGTACACATAACCGTTTATAAACGGTTAACCATAACCGTTTACCCATTTACCCGTTTTTAAACCCGTTTATCCTTTTGTTATTCATTTACCTATTTTTTCACCCGTCTACATGTTTTTTTTAACAACTTGAAAATTACAAAAGAAAAATTTGTCATAATTTTTGTTTTCTGACAATTAAACACCGTTATAGGTACATTTTAGCATGCATTTCCCTATTTGAATCATTTAAGTACTCAACAATAATTGAAATAATAGTTTATGAACGATATTTTTCTGCTATATCGAAACAAATCTTTAATTATAATTCATTTGATTACAAAATAAAGTTTCTAAAAGAAAAAAGTAGTCATTATAATCCATATGGATACCCGTTATAACTGCGGGTAGTTAATTTGATCATCTTCATTTCAATGCGTTTTAAACTTCCTCTAAGTTTGAAAGACCAATTCTTTTATACAGATACAGAGTGTTTTATTCGAACAATTCTCTGTTTCCTTCCTCTCATGCAATGCAAAAACAAAAAAGTCCAATTGAATTTCCATTGCAGGTTCAAGAGAATATTATTGATGCAAAGTAACCCTCGAAAGAATTTTTTTTTTTTTTTTTTTTCAGTAGAGATAGAGTACTTGGTGAATCAGGACCGATGAATACTCGTTATAACCTCGTGTAATACCCATAAACCACTCATTTAAATTTCATGGATAAATGGTTATACCTATAACCATTTGGTCATCTAAACGGTTACCCATAACCGTAACTGTGAACTTTAAATGGACGCCATGGGTATTTCGTAACATAAAAAAGCCCAACCATTACATTTTATTTAATCTTAAGCCCAATCGTTCTTACCACTTCCCTCCCTGACTTGTTCTTCAACTCCGATTCCAATCAAAACTTGTGCTCCAACTTTCAGTAGCCCCTTCCCCTCAACCTTCTGCCAATATTGCAAGGTTTTGATGATTCCGACTGTGATTCAAAATTGGAAGGATATTTCAGAGATTTTCAAGGTTTAGTTTATCTGTTTTAGTTAAACTCTCATATTCTTGTGTTTGTATCTCAGCCACCAATTTAATTTCCTTTCCCATACCTTTTGCATGTTGAAGTCCACTTCAACATAATCTCCCTAGAACCTACGAGATTGGTTTGGGTTCTAGTTTTCCACATCAACCCGACGAATCCGCCAACACCCAGCATCGAGGTTGGTCTCAAACCATTCATCATCATTCATCATCTCAGGTCCCTTAATAGATTTGCCGCTGCTTATTGGGCTGAGTGTATTCATCATCATTTTAGGTATTCTAATGCTGATTGGGCTGAGTGTCGGATTTCTTGCTATTTCATCGGCCAAATCATGTCTCTTGGAGCTCCACCAAACAACCCCCCGCTCAAGTGCCGACTCTTGCTTGTGCCGAATCTTTGTGGCTTACATTTGTTCTTCGTGAACTTCGGTATCACGTGTCTACTTCAAGTTTATTGTTTCGTGATAACTACCACTTACTGTTGGGTTACGGCTCAAAGTTAAGATAATGCAAAAATAGGGTTTGTGTTGTCCGTTTCTTTTTGGTGTCCTAATTGAGTTTGGATTTGACGTTTTGGTTGGATTCCTTACTTGGTGGAGAGATTGTGTTAATTACTTATTTGAATAGGATTTAGATTTACTTCCAATTAGGATTAGTATTCTCATTGTAGCTAAGTCCTATGCACTATAAATGGAACCTCAGGGTTAGTGTTTTTTGTGTGCCTCACCATTAGTGTAGAGAGTTTTCTCTAATTCAGTTTTGGATGAAGGTCACCGTTTGGAATCATGAATGGAAAAATCCATGGCTCATTCGTTTGGCAATTTGTTGAGAATCAATTTGAGTTAGAGAACAATTTCAGAGAATCTTCTCCTTTTGTTTGAGTTCTCTACTCGTTTGGTTTAGAGTTTTTAATTTGTGGGATTTGGGTTGTGAGAGTTAAACACTCTTTTGTAACTTCTATTTGTTTAGTGAAATTTCTCACCATGCTTTGCCTTGGACATAGGCTTTGCACCAAACCACGTTAAATCTCTTATGTTCAGATTTTAAGATCGTTTGTTTTAGCTTTCACGCGACGTTGATATTTGGTACCTTGTTAAAATTCGCTTCCATGTTTGTGCATAAAAGTAAAACACTTACATGGCCAGTAATTCGGTGTTTCATAATTGGACTAAGAATTAAAACGTTATGTCACCCTACTAGCTGGTGGTTTTGCCACGACAATCTACCCTATCAGGGGCTGGAAAAACTCACAAATGCATTTTAACCTCTCACTGGCCACCATCATATGATTCACCGGTGCCAAGAATCAAACACAGGACGTACTGTGTGGAATACGATCTTGTAATTCATCTCCAACTACTGTGCCACCTTGTGATGGTTGGAGGGAATCAAACCCTTGAGTTAGCACAATTCTTTAAGTAAGGGAATTTGACGCTAGTTTATTATCCCTCCGAGCCCTGATAAATCTAACGGAAAAAAACAAACTTGATTAAACAAGAATGAATAAGAAGCTAAAAAAGATATGTGTTTATTCGTTCTCTTCGGTTAATTACAACAATGTTCTGAAAATCTGTCACCCAGCTTCGTTTCCGTCTCTAAACTTTCTTTTTAGATGTGGCTAAATCTGGCGAGGTAATGTGATGTAAAGTGGGCATATTCATATGCATTTCCCTTTTTTTTCTTGTCGTCGTGCATATCCATTTCTTCCACATCCCTCACCACCCTTCCTTCCCATTCTTCGTACAATTCTTTCTTGTATTTTCCCTCCATCTCCAACCAAAAAAAAATACTAATAGCGAAATAGGCATTAAAAGAGTTTTTATAAATCAACTCTAAAAACGAAATATATATCTCTTAAAACTAAAAACGATACGAATATCAAAGGGGTCGGGTTTTATTGACTGAGCCTTCAAGCGTACAACAAAAACATGATTTGAAGTTAAGATAGAGCAGGATCACCATATTTCAGTAGGATGTCCCTGTGCCAGAACACTATACTACACAAGTACAGCATGGTTATTTATCTAGAAATTTAGAAGCTTACACCTTTTGCTACTTTATCCTTGTTCCTTGTCATTGCATTTCAAGTTGTAAGCGTTGTTACTCCACCTTCTTCACAATCTCTTCCAGTGCTTCCCACAATTTTGGGTCATCAAAATCTTTAATAACAAAGGAGGCTCCCGCATTAATCAATGCTTCCTCGGGGTTCCTTGTGCCTAAACCCACTACCGGCATTCCGGCTGCTACTCCAGCCTTCACTCCCGAAACAGAATCCTTGACAACCAAAAGTTGAGCAGAGATGAGCGCAATGTATGTCAAAATTTTACTGAAGATCGAATGCTATTGTTAATTGCACAGCACAAAGTTCTGAGAGACAAACCTCAAAGATGAAGGCATGCTCGTTTGACAGGTTAAGCTTTTCAAGAGCCGTCAAGTAAGGATCAGGAAATGGTTTTGCTCGTATGCATTCCTCTCCAAGAACAACAATTTCAAAGAAATCCGTGAGCTTCAACTTTGATAATATTAGCTCGGCATTTAGTTTTGGAGCATTTGTTACTGCAGCCCGTCTCAAGCCTTGTTTTTCAATCCATTGGCGCAACCTAGGTAGGCCCTTAAGGGGTTCTATCTTTTCAGATATCAATCTGCAACATCACACTCAGTAAATCAAGTTGAGACAAGAGATAGGGTCCTTTATAATTGAAAGAAATAATTCCACAACTTGATACAGAAATAGAATTCCCAATTAGTCAACGAAGATTGTAGTTGATACAGTTTAAGATAATTTCCTTCCATCCACAGAAGAAGTCTAACTAATAATACCAATGTGTTATATACCCGAAATGTATTTGATATCAAGCATGCAGTTTCTTGACAGATTTTTGAAGTTACCTTCGGAACATGGCTTCCTTATCTACCAAAAACTGTCTTGCTCTTTCGATATCCCAATCAGGAAAGAGGATACTACAAAGATACTCATTATGACCTCCAGTTATCTTCTCACTGTAGAATTCCTCAGTGATAGGAACCCCACCATTAAAACCTACCTGTGGTACACCAAAGAGTGAGTTGGAGAAAAGTGCAGTGTTTGTGCATATGTGTGAGAGAGAGTGTGTGATTCGGAGAAAAAAATGCCGTGTTTGTGCATATGTGAGAGAGAGAATGAGAGAGAGAAGCCTACTTCTTGAAGCATTTCACGGAAAGCATAATAATGGAAGGGATCTGAATCACACAATGTTCCATCAATATCAAATAGAATTGCTTCTAGAGGTGCGACACAAGCTAGAGAAGATTTTCTGTCATCACAAAATAGAAGGTGATTAAAGCAAGCAATCAGTCACAAAAGTTGAAAGTATATGAAGGTGATGAAACTAAGTTGCTATGTCTAGTGGCTCGGCCCAATGAAGCACAACAGTTTGTTCTAAAAGTAAACATTACTTTAGGTTAACATATATCACAGTTAAAAATCTTTAGATGCTAGATAAGATACAGCTTTCTTGTCAATTGTGGTGAGTCTTAACATTTCACAAAATTAAAAAAGAACAAATTGACAATTTTGTTTGTTTGCTTGTTCAGAATCAAGATTGGAATTCATAAGAACAATGCTATTCTCAATCAAGCCGATTCCCGTAAACCGGAATTCAAACTAAATCACTCAAATTATTTTCATGACATAAAATGTTCATAGCTAATGAACAAGGGCAGCAATGCTCTTCTAAACATATAATTTTTGCTCAACAATTATACTTCCATGCAATACGACGAAAACTACTAATATTTTTGCTCAAAAATCTTTAAATGCTAGATAAGATACAGCTTTCTTGTCAATTGTGGTGAGTCTTAACATTTCACAAAATGCATGCACAAAGATCTCTTAATAAAACTACTAATATTATAGGATACAGAAAATTATCGCAGTGCTAAGAAAGATTATGAGCTTCAGCCTTTTGTCCCGCTTAGCGTTTTTTCGAGTTTAAGCTATACTAAGTTGGCAAAGTAAAGCTGATAACAAGTAAACAGAAGACAAATAACTTTTCTAACGTATCACTGTGCACACAAGGCAAATAGATTTGCAATCAAAATCCCCTTAGTCCCAGGATCAATGTCTGAAGGGGTCAAACCCTTTGAGCGAATAAGAATGAACATATTTGTTAAGGTAGGATAAGGATCGAACTTTTTCAACTGTCCATTATATCAACCATTGATCCCCATGCCTACCATTTGAAGTCCTAAATAATTTCACTTCCTAAATAATTTCACTTATTATATCAACCACCACTGGAGACAGAAAACCTTTTAAATGCTTAGAACGACGCCAATCCCCATCCCAAACCACAAGCAAGGGGAAAAGAAAGGTTTTAATTAGACAGAACAGAACTTTTCCTGAAGTTGACAAGGAGCAGATTTCCGCTTAGTATGCGGGTTTCCAAATGTTAACAAGAGCTCAAACACATACAGCTTTACATTAAAGGTCTAGTGAATCGCCGGCGAAAAGGGCTGATGCAACCTGTTCAGCTAAGCAATTTGCCAACCATCCCAAACAAAATTAAAAAAGAACAAATTGACAATTTTGTTTGTTTGCTTGTTCAGAATCAAGATTGGAATTCATAAGAACAATGCTATTCTCAAACAAGCCGATTCCTGTAAACCGGAATTCAAACTAAATCACTCAAATTATTTTCATGACATAAAATGTTCATAGCTAATGAACAAGGACAGCAATGCTCTTCTAAACATATAATTTTTGCTCAACAATTATACTTCCATGCAATACAACGAAAACTCGAACAAACACTGATTCATACAAAAGTTACCATATTTATGAAAAAAATAACATCAGCAGAAAATTATGCTTTGCAGAATCAAAAATAAATTTAAAAAAAAAAGCAAGAAAATAAAAGAAATACCTATCGAGTGGGTGAGCATTTGATGTAAGGGACGCCATTGTTAGTGAGGTAGATCCGGATTTAGTGGGGTTGCGTGTGTGAGTTTTCTGGAGATGGGTTTTGGGAAAGTGGTGAGAAGGAACAAGACGAGAAGAAGGGAGAGCGAGCATAGTACGGAACGTGAGACGACCTCTCTCCACTTTTATGGGGTTGTCGATTTTTTTTTTTTCCTTCTCTTTTCTTCTTTTTGAAATGGAATATGCTATCTAAGAGTTGTAAAATGCCATTTTAATTTGAAAGAAGAAGAATCAACGGCTTGAGCCAAAAGAAAAAAAAAAAGAAAAAAAAAAAAGAATAAATGCTTTTTATTTGGAAAAGAAGAATAAATGCCACCTTTCCCCCTTCCCCCCGCGCCCCACGACCCGGTCGCCGAGCGAATAAATGTCGTCTTATTTTGGAGAGGAAGAATTAGTGCCATCTTATTTGATAGGAAAATAAGGATAATACTACATATCCAATCCACTCCTTCTAAATAATATGGTTTTATCATTCAAATGGAAAATCATTTAAACAGTTTATCTTAAATATTTTACTTGGTATTCATTTCGATTTTATACATTCGAATAATTCTACAAACTTCAATGC